ACTGTGCCTGGTGTTAGAACATTATTCGTTTTATTCATGACAGGGTACAGAATGAAAGTGTTAGGGTAGGGCTGGCCCCGTGTCTTAGTGGTTAAGTGCGCGCGCTCCACTGCTGGCAGCCCGGGTTCGGATCCCGGGCACGCATTGACGCACTGCTTCTCCAGCCATGCTGAGGCCGCGTCCCACATACAGCAACTAGAAGGATGTGCAACTATGACATACAACTATCTACTGGGGCTTTGGGGAAAAAGAAAGAAAGAAAGAAAATTATATTAAAAAAAAAAAAGTGTTAGGGTAGATCCTTGCACGTCAGGAAAGTTATGTTAATGTTTTAACATCCTGGTTTAACTGGAACACCAGGGTAAGTCGTTCCACCCACACCTGCCACCTCACCTAACCTCACCACCAGTTCCTGTCTGCCTTTCCCACCAGTCAACCCTGAGATGGCCCAAACCCAAGTAGTTCCCATTCAGCCATATACCAAGGAGAAGACACTAAGTCCCCTTACCCCAATTCTCATCTTTGGGATTAAATGGCCTGGAACAGGGCAGGTGAACTATGATCAAGACCAAGTGAGGATTTTTAAGTAAACTTTGACAGGGGCATTAAGAATAACATCTGAATTCAACTCTAGAAAAAAGTGCTACCAGGGGAAAATAAAGTCTTAGCGGATGATCTGAAACTGCCCCTACGAAAGGGCTGGAAAGTGATCCTCTAGGCAGGCGCTCTAAGAGCTCTGGACTCAGCAGGACTTCGGCTGGTCCAGTCAGGGGCTTTTGAGCCGGATGACCTGGGGCTGCCCGGCAAGCACACTGCAGCCAGAGCCCTTCAGCTCCATTACCAAGTACTCCCTAGTGTGTCAATTGTCCTTAAAGCTCTTCCATTCCAGTAAGTACTTGGTGTGTTTACTCTTCTGACAAGAGGGGAGGTACATCACCCGATGGTTGTTGGGGAGATTTCAGACACTGGGTTAGGTCTTTGGCTGCTGACTGGTGTTGTTGAGAGCTCCCAAGTTGTGCTTTGACCATGATGGCCAGCGCAGTCGGGGCCTCCCGATAGCACAGGTGCTCTCTCTGGCCACAGACCCGTGTCCCATGGTGGGCCGTCTCAGCCATCCAGCAGGGTATCAGTGAGGGCCCTGTGCACACCCTTGAAAGGAGTACTAGTGTTTCCAAGACCTAGCTGGTAGGCGCAGGAATTCTTGTGCATTAAAGACTGGGGATGCTGGCCTTCAGCTTGAAATGGGATCTCAGAGGCATGATGGCTTCCAGAGCTTTCATCCTGTACAGATAGTAGTAGCAATTCTGTTTTCCCTGGGTTTCCAACTGTAGTATTGTTGCATCATCATCCTCCAGGAGCTGGGGTTCATACTTGATATCCTGAAGCCTAGATAGTTGAATATCAGTCTCTTTCAAGTCTTTGGGGCATGGGTCCCACGGGGAGATGAGGGCCCCTTCACAATTTCCATTGCAAAGCACATGGTTTACTTCTTCCCCAAAATAAGTAGCAGTACAAATATCAGGTTCTTGTAGACTTTGGCCAGCACAACATTTACTCTGAACAGCTAGTTACTGCCAGACGCCATGGCCTCCACAACCCGTGCAGAACTGCATCAGTTTACCCCACCACCCTGCCTCGTCAGCCCCAGTTCCCTGGAGCTCCTCTGTCGTTTCCTTACAGGGAAGGCCAAGCCAGACCTGGCCTGAAAACATGGCTATGTGGGGAGTCTGTTGTGTTTTGACTGGAACTCTATTAAATGTACAAATTAGTTTGGGAATGTTTGGCAACTTTATAATATTCAAGATTCCCTTTCCAGGACATGGGATGTTGACAGACTTATTAGTTTTTTAGTTAAATTTCATATAATCAAGAATCAGTAACAACTTATGAAGATCTTCAAAATAACCAAAGGTATATTTCACTTTTCTTCCCAATTAATTAATTAAGCACCAGTATAAAAATTTAAGCACCTCAAGAACCAATATAGAAGATACATTTTTAAAAAAATCTTTAGTACAATTAGAAATCTGAACAATAGCTAGATATTTGATGATATTAAGGAATTATTGTTATTTTGTTAGGTATGCTAACAGTATTTTGGTTACATTGTTTAAAAAGAATCCTGATCTTTTAGACATACACTGAAGTCTGGGATTTACTTCACAGTTACATTGGATAGAAGGTAGATAGGGGTAGGAAACAAGATTGGCCATGAGTTGCTAATTATTGGAGCTGATGATTATTGGGTTCATTATATTATTTTGTCTCCTTTTGTATATGTTTGAAATGTTCCATTATAAGAGTTAAAAATAAAGATGAATATAGAATGTCAAAGGAAAGAAAAAAAAGTAATCATGAGAAGTAGAGCTAACTACATTTATAGTCACAGGGTAAAAATACTTCTAAAGATTTTTGATTCTGTTGTTCCCTGCCCGCTTAAAGGTGTACATTGGACCTCAAGCAAAATTATGAAGTAGCCTTTGTTTACATTCTTTATTTCCTAGTGTCTTCTTTCTTCGTCTTAGCCCAGTACTGGTTTTCCTTCTCCTTGTTTTAAGTGCGCATTTTTCTCCTGTTCACCTCTTTTATTTCCAAAGTTGTCACTCATTTACACATACTGAGTAGAAGACCTAGAGATGGACCTGTCCAGATTAAAGTACAAGAGAAAAATACTTTGGGAGTGAGTTCAGGGGTAGAAATCAGGGAATAGGTCTGATAGAGTATTAGAAAAATATTTGAGCATTTGGAAAAATTACTGATAGAAATGGAAAAATTTTTTGGAACATTTGGAAAAAACTTATGAGAGTCCCATATGAAAAGCATTAACTGTTGATTTTATAAAAAATTACCAGTCTGGAGATAGGGGAAAGTCAAAGCTTAATTTAACCCTCTAGTATTCTAACAAAAAATAAATAGATAATGTCTAAAATGGGTAAATCAAAAAGTAGCAATATTAGCATATTACCCAGAAATATATATGTGATTAAAAGACACTGTTAACGAATTCAAAGTAGTTACTTCTGGAGAGTAGGGTAAATTGGGAGGGAGACAAACAGCATGGAACAGAGAACTGTTGAAGCTACTTAATAGTACAATCTGACTTTTAACAATGTTTGTGTTTTATTTTAATAAAAATAAAAAATATTAAAAACAAACAACTGCAGTATTAGTAGACTTATTCTAAGGAAACATCAAGGAGGTAAAATTAATAAAGTTAATCCAGATAAAATTAAGATTGTGATACTGAATGAAGTAGGGGTCTAGCTTCACTCTCTGGCGTGTGCGTATCCAGTTGTCCTGGTACCATTTGTTGAAAAGACTGTTCTTTACCTCCACTGAATTGTCTTGCCACCCTAGCCAAGAATCAATTGACCATAAATTTATGGATTTATTTCTAGACTCTCATTTAGTTATATGTCTATCTTTATGCTGGTACCACACAGTCTTGATTACTGTAGCTTTTTAGTCAGCTTTGAACTTAAGTGTAAGTCTTCCAGCTGTGTTCTTTTTGAAGATTGTTTGGCTTTTCTTGGTCCATTGCGTTTCCCATATGAATTTTAGGACCAGCTTATTAATTTCTGCAAGTAAAAGGTGGGGGGACAGCTGAGATTTTGATAGGGATTGCATTAAATCTGTAGATAAATTTGGGGAATACTGCTATCTTAACAATATTAAGGCTTCCAATCCATGAATATGGGATTGCTTTCTATTTGTCTTCTTTAATTCTTTCAATGATGTTGTATAGTTTGAGTGTACAAATCTTGCACTTCTGTTACATTTGTTTCTGATTATTTTATTGCTTTTGATACCATTGTAAAAGAAATAGTTTTCTTAATTTCATTTTCAGATTGTTCATTGCTAGCATGCAGAAATACAATTGATTTTTGTATTTTGATCTTATGTTCTACAACCTTGCTGAACTCTTTTATTAGTTCTAATAAATTTTTTTGTATATTCCTAAGCATTTTCTATATACAAGATTATGTCATCTGCAAAAAGAGATAGTGTTACTTATTTCTTTCCAATCTGGATGCCTTTTATTTCTTTTTCTTACCTAACTGCCCTGGCTAGAACCTCCAGTGCAGTGTTGAATAGAAGTGGCAAATGAGACATCCTTGCCTTGTTCCTGATCTTATGGGAAAGCATCTAGTCTTTCACCATTACATGTGATGTTAGCTATGGAGTTTTCATAGATGCCCTTCATGAAGTTGAGGAATTTCCCTTCTATTCCTAGTTTGTTGAATGTTTTTCATCATGAAAGGTATTGGATTTTGTCAAATTCTCTCTCTCTGCCTATTGAGATATCATCTATTTTTGTTCTCTTAGTACAGTGTATTACATTGATTGATTTTCATATGTTGATGAACCACCCTGGCTTTCTGAGGATAAATTGTACTTGGTCATTGTGTACACAGTCCTTTTCATGTGTTGCTGGCTTCAGTTTGCTAGTGTTTTCTTTTTGCAGCTATATTTATAAAGGATATTGGCTGTAATTTTCTTGTGATATCTTTGTCTGGATTTAGTATCAGAATCTCACAGAATAGTTTGGAAGTGTGCCTTCCTCTTCTATTTTTTTTGGAAGAGTTTGTGAAGTATTGGTTTTAATTCTTTAATGTTTGATAGAATTCACCAATGAAGCCATCTGGTTCTGAGCTTGTGGGAAGTTTCTTGATTACTAATTGAATCTCTTTATTAATGGGCCTATTAAAATTTTATATTTCTTCTTAAATAATGTTTTTAAATTTGAAAAATATAAAGTAAGTGTAAGGTTGAAGTATATATAAGGTAGTCTGTTAAAGCCAAAATTGCGTATAAAAACCTGTCCTGCTATTAATTCATGGGAAGTCAATTTGAAATTATACTATTTAACAATTCAGTTTTTAAAATGTGATTTTTCAAAAGTTAATTGTTAATGTCTTTGTTTTAATTATTTTATGATCATATTTCATAATGGCTTGGAATTTAAGGTTTTTATTTTTTTTTTATTGCTTTTATCTCAGCAGCAATGCAGCAAGTGTTGGATAACCTTACGGAGCTACCCTCATCTACGGGAGCAGAGGAAATAGACCTCATTTTCCTCAAGGGGATTATGGAGAATCCTATTGTAAAATCACTTGCTAAGGTATATTGGTTTATTTATAAGATTACTAAATTATTTTTAAAGTTGTTTTAACAGAGATCCTCTCAGATATTAGTTTTAGAACTTGATTGATATGCCTTACTTAGGCTTAGTTAGCAAATAACACTTACCACATAATGAAATCTTAACTGTACACAAAAATTAGACCACTTTTGCCTCTTCCAAGCTGCCTATAAATACACACAGGATGAAATGACTCTTAGTTTTCACCTAATACATTTCAAGTTTTTGGGAAATCATAACTGAACAGTTATGTTATAACAGGGCCTGTGAAAAAAGATCCTATTTCTGTTTTCAACAGCAGCAAGGTACTGATGATTTTCTTCCTTTACATTAGACCATGTACCTGTTTTTCATTTCAGTTCTTGACTTCCTATATCTAGTACTTTTTGAAATCTTGTTTTTTCTTGGATTGTCATAAAATTCCTATTCAAATATGAATTCTTTGTTCATTCTCAGTAATATTTTTAGGTTTCTTTGTACAGGTTTGAACATCTTCCACTAGAGTTATTTTTAGATATCTTCCACTAGAGTTATTTTTAGATATCTGTAGATTTAGAAATTAGATGATATTTTATAAGGTGTCTTACAACGTGCTTATAGTTTACAAAGGTCTTTAAAATATACTGTTTTGTCTTCGCAACAACTTTATGAATTGAAAACTAAGACACAAAGTAGAAAAAAAGTAGATAATAACAACAATAAACAAACACATAGGGACAGAGATTGGATTGGTGGTTACCAGAGGGGAAGGGGGGAGGGAGGAGGGTGAAAGGGATAATTGGGTACATGTGTGTGGTGTTGGGTTGTAATTAGTATTTTGGTGGTGAACATGATGTAATCTATGCAGAAATAGAAGTACAATGATGTACACCTGAAATTTTTACAATGTTATAAACCAATGTTACTGCAATAAACAAAAAATTTAAAAAAAAAAAAAAAGAAAAAAGAAAAATTATTTGCCTGACGTCACTTTGCTAGTAAATGACAGAGATGAGGTTTAGATCAGGTCTTCTTTCTTTAAATTTTGTTCTCTTTCTGCTACAGCACAGGCTGTGTGTGTGTGTGTGTGTTCTTAAGAATTTCTGTGAGTAAAATTTTGTTGGCTTTTGTGCTATTGATATTGGCCTTTCGGAAGATCATCTTGTTCATCATTCTTAACAGGTGAAATGGCTGCATGACTTTTAGCAGCTAAGGTGCTACTGTGTAATCTTTTGAAAAAAATGAAATTAAGAACAGAATCACTCAATAGTATCCAACATTCCAGCAGTTTCTTAATAAATAGAAGCAATGGTAGGTCAGTATTCCTACAATGAAAGTAAAGAAATCCCAGAAGGAAGGGAGGACTTCTACTTTCAAGAAAGAGATGTTAAGTTATAGCAGGCCAACACTTCCAGTGCAACAAATAGGGGGAAAAATGCATAAATTGTTGAGGAAACTGAGAGGCATATGTTGCTAGACATGTGGAGAGGCAGGAACATAGACTAATAATCATGAGAAAAACAACAGAAGCAATGCCATAGATGGTCTTTTTATTAGAGTTTATAAGCATTTTTAAATAACTTATTAATATATTTTTAATAGAAAAAAATGAAGACATTTAAAATATTACTAGAAAATAGGGATCAGAAACAATCAAATGGACGTTCAAGGACTCAAAAATACAGTATCTGAAATTAAGAGCTCATTTGATAGGTTTGATAGAAGACTAAACACAGCAGAAAAGGGGACTAGTGAATTTAAAGACAGGTCAATAGAAAACATCCAAACTGAAACTCATAGAGTAGTAAGTATGGGAAAAACAGAACAGAGACTATCAAAAGATCTGATACAAAGGGCCGGCCTGGTGGCGCAGGGGGTTAAGTGCATGCGCTCCACTGCAGCGGCCCGGGGTTTGCCGGTTCGGATCCTGGGCGCACACCGATGCGTCGCTTGGCAGGCCATGCTGTGGCGGCATCCCATATAAAGTGGAGGGAGATGGGCATGGATGTTAGCCCAGGGCCAGTCTTCCTCAGCAAAAAAAAAAAGAGGAGGATTGGCAGATGTTAGCAGAGGGCTGATTTTCCTCACAAAAGAAAAAAAGAAAAAGATCTGATACACATGTAATTAGTATCACAGAAAGAACGGTGAGGGGGAATAGGACAGAAGACAGTTGAAAGTACAATGGCCAAGAATTTTCAAAACTAATGAACAACATCAACTGATAGATTCAAGAAGCCATCTGAACACTCTAGCAGGAGGTATAAAGAAAAACATTCTTCGGAACATCGTAGTCAAACTCCTGAAAATTAAAGACAATGAAAATTTGTAAACCAACCAGAGAGGAAACACACATTACCTTTAAAGAGAAACAGTAAGGCTAATGGTTAGCAGTAAAACAGGAACCATGATAACATAATGGATTGAGATCGTTCAGGTGTGGAAAGAAAAACACTAGCAACCTTGAATACCCTTTCCACAAAAGCAACCTTCAAAGATGAAAGCAAAATAAACATTTTTTTTAGACAAACAAAATCTGAGAAAAATAATCTCCATTTACTCTACAAGAAATGCAGAAGAAAGTTCTTCTGACAGAATGACAAAGGAAAGTGGATATTAATGGGTAAATATAAAATAATACTGATTTTTAAGATGGAATAGTAATAATGTCTTGTGGCATTTATAACATGTATATAAGTGACATATGTGAAGATGATAGCCCAAAAGAAGGGAGAGACTTAATGAGTCAGACAATTGTAAGATTCTTTCATTGTGCAGGAAGTGGTAAAAGTAATGGCTTAAGGTGGAGTGTAAAAAGTCAGGGATGCATATTGAAATCTCTAGAGTAACCACCAAAAGTAAAGTTACAAGATTGAATAAATTCCACCCAAGCCATAAGGGAGAAAAAACAGTCTTGAATTACTTCATTCCAGAAACAACTAGAGAAGTTAGCAAAATATGGGGACAGAGGAGGACTGTCTTCAGACATGGGACAACAGGCAGCACAGGACTGAGACCCCTGAGAGAAAGGAAACAAATGAGATGAGCATTATGAAACTACCTGAGGATAGTTTCCAGGCCACAGTGCAGGAAGAGGAAATGCAAACAGCCCAGCAGTCTTAGTGGACCTTGGAATTTCGGGAGATGGAGGTGACTCGTTTATGTGGCAGCATGTCAAGGAGCAGGAAGCTGAACACAGAAAGAGCTCTGGAACTCTGCAGAGGGATGCCCTCAAATCTTTGGCTGAGTACTGACCTGTACATATGTGAGGTAAGCTTCTAGAGTCCAAGGAAGGATCGACTGGAACGCACCACAGGCCAAACAATTTCCAGAGCTCACAAAGGATGGTGAATAGTTTGCATTCCCACCAGCCTCATGGAGAGTCCTCATAATACACAGGACATTGGGCAGAATTCACACCAAGTTTGTTGTAGCAGACCTAGGAAACTAACTAATACAAACCTTAGCAGAATTAAACTAAAAATCAGTAACAAAGTTATCTGAAAAATCCCCAAATATCTGGGAATTAAGCAACATACTTCTAAATAGCCATGGGTCAAAGAAGAAATCACAAAGAAACATAAAAAATATTTTGAAATGAATGAAAATGAAAATAACATGTCAGAACATGTGGCATGCAACAAAGCAATGCTTAGAGGAAAATGCCTATATTAGAAAAGAACAATATATAAATCAATGATCTAAGTGTGCACCTTGAGAAAATAGAAAAAGAAGAGCAAATTAAACTCAAAATAAGCAGAAAAGAGTAAATAATAGTGAACTTAAAAAAGACAAAAGTAGAAAAAAATCAATATAGCTTTGAATGTGTCGGTAAAATTAATAAACCTCTAGCTAGACACAAATTACCAGTATCAAGAATAAAAGAGAAGACATCACTACAAATCCAACAGACATTGTAAGAATAAGAAATATTATGAACAATTTTATGGCAATAAATATGACAACTTAGATGAAATTGACTAATTCCTGGAAAGACACAAACTACTAAAACCTACGTAAGAATAGATAACCTGAATAGCCCTATATCCGTTTTTTTGAATTGAATACTTGCAGTTTAAAACTTGCCTGCAAAAGAAGCTCCAGCCTAGATGGTCTTCACAAGAAAATTCTGTCAAACATTTAATAAAGAAATAATACCAATTCTACATGAGATCTTCCAGAAAAAAAAGAAGAGAGGGGAACATTGCCTGTGTTGTTTTATGAAAGTTAGTGTCACCCTAAGATCAAAACCAGCTAAAGACATTTCAAGAAAATTACAGAATGGTATCCCTCATGAACATAGGCATCAAGTTCTTTAGAAAATATTACCAAATCAAATCCAGCAACATATAGAAAGGGTAACACCCATTACCAAGTGAGTTTTGTCTCAAAAATGCAAGGCTGTCTTAACATTTGAAAACCAATTAATATTTGTCACCATTTTAATGACATGATAAGAAAAATCATATGATCGTGTTAATAGTTGCAGGAAAAGCGTTTTACAAAATTGCACATCCATTCCTGATAGAAACTCAGCAAACGTAGAAGCAAATTATCTCAACCTGATGAAGGGCATCTATTAAAAAAAAAAACAAACCACAGTTAACATTGTAATTCATGGTGGAAGATAGAATGCTTTCCTTCTAAGATCACTTCTATTCAACTTTCATCAATTTTCTTAAACTTCATACTGGGGGTCGTAGCCAGTGCAAAAAGGTGAGGAAAAATAGGTAAATAAAAGGCATACAGATTGAAGAGGAAAAGTAAACTGTCTTTATTCAGGGATGACATTATCATCTATGTTGAAAATCCTAAGAATCCACCAAAAGGAAAAAGAATTCTAGAAATAATAAGTTTAGCATGATCACAGAATACAAGATCAACTACATAAATCAATTGTATTTTTATGTACTAACAAGGAGCAATTGGATGTTGTAATTTAAAGGAATAGGGATAAATTTAACAAAATATGTGCAAGACCTATAGACTGAAAATTTAAAAAC